CCGTTGGAAGTTCCACCCCTCCTTCCGGACGCCCCGTCCCCGCCGCCCCCTCCCTGTGCCCCTCCTCCGAGATGCCTCACCACCGTGCACTCTCCTCCAGGATGCCAGCTCCCCCACCTCCGCGCGCCCCTCCTCCAGGACGCCCCACCGACCTGGTGCACCTGCCAGACCAGGTGAGTTCCGTCCAGTCGGGACAGGAACCGGCCGTGCCAGCAAGAGCTCCCCGGGGGACTTCTCTGCACACCCAGGGCCCAAAGGAACCCCCTGTGCAGATCCAGGGGGGCAGCACCCGCATCATCCTGCTGTCAGTGCAGGCCCCCAGGCTGCACGCCCTGAACCTCTCCTTAGATCTATGCTTCAGCGCAAGCTGCACCGCCCAGATGTGGCCCACCTGGGGCGAATACCACCAGCCTCCTGGGCCGCCCGTTCCTGGGGACCACGGAGTGCGTGGCCACCGCTACGTGGCCGTCCGCTGGCCCCTGCACCATGCTACCCCTGCCTGAGCCAGCAGCTGGCGGCCACCACCTGGGCCACTGGCCTGGTGGAGTCAGCGGTCCTGACACCACCCCCTCTCTGTCTGCTCTTGTGTCCCCACCGGCAGGTGGGTGATATTTTTGTGTGAGGTCCCGGCTCTGATTGCACTGTCCCGCGGAAACGCCACTTACGGTGAGATGCAGGTGGCTGTCGTGGTCCCTCACTGCCCCTGCCCGAGCAGTGCTCAGGTCAAGTCTGCCACAGGGTGGAAGAAGGCGTTCCGGATGCACCCCTCCCACCTCGCGGTGGTCACCCTCTTACGACTCAGTCATTACTGTCTACCTGCAGCCCCCAAATCCTGACGTTCAGCAAAGGGGCAAGTTGTCCAGTCTCTGCTATGCGGCAGGCACTCCAGCACTTAACAACCCTCTCGTTCACACTCTGAGGAACAGAGGGGTAAAGGGGGCACTTGGGACGCTGCTTGGGAGGCACAGGGACCCAAGGGAGTGCTGAGAGCTGCCTGGGTGCTTTCCAGTCCCCAGGGAATCAGCCTGCTTCTGTGGGGATGCCTTGTGCCCCACACCACGCCCTCCTCACCCAGGGCGCCACAGGGCTGGGCAGTAGCTGTGTGTGTGTGTGT